CCCTACGGTGAGGTATACTCCTACAGCAGTTGTCATTTGGTTAAACTCTCAGGTAAAGCACCGTACATCGAGCTCAACGGCCAGGTCTACGCAGATTCGAGTGCTATAGTGAAGATGCTATCAGATAAGTATGGCAAGGACTTGGATGCCGACCTTAGCCTGGAGCAACGAGCCATGAGCATCGCCGTTCAACGTATGGTGGAGGAGCACACCTACTTCCTTACTCTCGCCGACATGGCCCTACAAGATGGAGCTTTCGAAGTATTGAATAAGAAGTTGATGAATTTACCAACGGTTGCCCGATGGATCTTCCCGACGTTTCTGTTGCGAAGTTTCAAGGCGATTCTGAACGGCCAGGGAATCGGACGCCTCCCCGAAGTTGACCGGAAGCGAAGAATGAAAGAGGATATCGAGGCTCTCTCGATCATCTTGGGAGAGAAAAAATACCTCGTGAATGACGATAAGCCTTCCACTATTGATGCTACCGTATTTGGTTATTTATGGTCGAACTTTGACACCGATTCGGAGTTTACTAAGTACATGTCCTGCTGCACAGAGAGTGAGAAGTATGATAACTTGATGGCTTACTACACTCGGATGCGTGAGATGATGCTCAAGTCCCATGACAAGTGGGCTATTAAGGCATGATGAACTCGGTTAATGATTAATTTCTAAGAACTTGATTGTTTCCTTCCACCAGTAGATGCTTTGCGCTTGCCCCAGTTGAATGATGCTAGGTCATTCAAGTGTTGATGAAAGTACGTGTCATCAACCCATGTGCGCCTTCATAAGTGTCTGTTGACAATCCGATGTGAAGACTTGAACTTCGAATCCTCAAGATCCGTGCCACATGGGAGGAAGTTGAGTACTAAACGTTTATAAGGTTCCAGAGAAGAAGGACCAGAATCCATCATAAGGGTCGACGACATGCCCATGATATCCCAGCAAATACCAGTATCGGTTCCAGCTACCAATGTTGAAAGCAGCAAACTCGGAAGTGATTTTCAGCAAGTCACACTTTTCTGCTACTTCCTGATTTATGGGTTCCTGGGTAGATTGTATTTTTCCCGGATTATTTTACACAGCGGCACTTGCCCAGATATTTTTTGCTTGCACTTCTTCGTTATCCTGTCAAGAGGATAACGATTGTACTAAGGACTGTACTACAAGGCTTTGATGGATAATTCCCCGATCATATCTTCATGCACTAGTTCCTAAACGCAACATTTGGCGGTTGATTTAACCAACACATTGGAAGGGTGACAAAACAAGCACTCAGCTTGATTCGCAAGGCAACTAGGAGGCACAAAAACCAAGTTCAAAATGAATGCGCGAGTTGCCTTGCAGGCAAACAGATAACTGGAAAAGAAGTATGTATATCAGGAAAGATCAATACACGACAATAGTACTATACCATGATGACTCGTTTCTCATCAGCAGTAGTAGTGTTTGTAAGATCGCTACGCAAATCATGGAACCTGAACTGCTGAGCGTTCCAGAATTCACACACGTCTTTGCTGGCGAACTCCGAATGAGGGTAAGCGTTATCCTTTACCAAAGGCTCCATCTGTACATCACGACCAAGATGCAAGTACTGACCAAGTGAGTTCTTGGAGTTAGCCATATATGTCCCCCAGTCGGGTAGATGAGGCTGAGGCGGACAAACAACATCACCTCCAACAGGCTTGCCACTTGCAGCCATACTTGCCCACATGCAGGACATCTTATCGGAGACTTGGTGGTAAACATCACCGGGTTGTCGCGGAGGATGGCCCATGTATACTTCGTACATGTTAGGTTCCTTCACCGTCACACCGTGATCTTCAAATCGCTTAAAGACAAAAGGGATCTCTGAGGAATGGAAGGTGCCCATTTGCTCAGGGGTGAAGTTACCGAAACCAAACAT